ATTTAAGGCAAACTCACACACACAACGCATACACAGAGACTCGAACCCAAGATCTCGTGGTTGAAAGACTAAGCTCTCAACCAACAAGCCAAGATGAGTTGTGTAGCAAGAATGGTTTTACTCAACTAGAATTATGTGACAATAGGACTTTGACTCAAGTAGGCAACCCAAGGAGATCATCCTCTCAAGGGAAATTCCAAGAATTCTGGTAGAATTCTTAGGCCTTGTAAATTCATATCCTCGATGAGAGTCGCCCTCCTAGAGCAACTCGCTAACATTACCAATCATCAAGTTGTCAATGGCTTACTTCGATCTAGTATTAGGGATGATTTTCCTCTTCCAAAAGTGGGCACGACATTCATATTGAAATGGTTCAAGACGTGCATAAGTTGTTGTTAATGAAACCAAAGGACTCATTAATATAGTCTCGTTCAGTTTGATTCATCCCAAGGGCTCGCCTTCCTCGACTCGGCCACAAACACTATGAAAAGGAAGCTTGTCCAAAATCGAAAGCTAAGACAAAGGGGAAGAACAGCACAAATCATCTATCATATCACAACATGTGTCCCGAGCAGCTCTTATTGGGTCTAATTTATTAAGATATTTTTTATTTTTTATTTGGATAGCCTTCCTTGTAGCCCTTGGATCCTTATAAATGAAGGGTGAAGATGCACATTTTGGACTTTGTTTTTGGAATATTTGAATCATTATTGACAAAGTATAACATTCCTCTGATATTTTTGTTAGCTTTTCCTAGCTGACTCAAGCCCTTTCTTTTCTTTTTCATACTCACCATGAGCTCTTAAGTTCCTATCTCTTATGATTGCTTGCTAATATGGCCAGTTATCATTCATTGAATAATTTTAATCTAATATCCTCGAAGTTGTAGTGAGCGTGGATTTATGTCAATAATAATAAGACATGTACAATTAGACAAACACCTGAACCATGAGTCGATGATGAACATAGATGTCCCCAACTACACTAGTTGTGATCCTATGTAGATGGAGGAAAGCCCTTAGACGCTTCCGGTCATCCCTTAGTCGCACCCTACGTGCTATGACAGTACTGCAAGTTGAAGTAAAGCCCTCATCCTCAACATCATGCCCATCATCCTTTGGTGCATCAAGTTTATTGTCGTCCTTCAGTGCATCATGCCCATCTGGGCCTTCTTCAACATCAGCCTCAGGAGCAGGCGTCTTCTTCTCATATGTAATCGTCCTTGAAGAAGAATCTGCTTGCTCTCCTATATGATAGGCTTTAAATGCCGGAAAGTTCTCAAACATAAACTTCTCCATGACATTATATTTCCAATGCTTCTCTCTCTATTCGAAGACATGGTATCCCAATGCAGCCACTTACGGCTCTAGCAGAGCAGATGTCGACTCAACATACGCTAACCTTATCTATAGAACTTTGTTTTGAGTCATGATCTTACTGAGGGCTTACTCATTGCTACGAAGATAAGGTTCCGCATAGGGAGAAGGTTGTTTCTATCCAGGGTTCTTAAGGGGCTGGGGGAGCTTGGGGGGTTGGGAGGTCTGAATGGGCTGGGGGGGTTGAAGGGAGTGGGTGAGCTGGAAAGTAAAGAAACTATTAGGCCCAGTTGATGCCCTATGAGTTGTAGTTTGAGGAATGTGTGAGGTAAAGTGGATGTTTGATCGGGGATTCATGTGGGGGGGCTGGGGGAGGACTATCTAATAATCTCTTCTCCTCTTTGGTTATTCATTCAAAAGAAATTAATATATGTACATCTTTGAGACCATCAAATAATTCAGACGCCTCTGCTTTGCTATACATTATATCATTGCCCTAACAAACAAAACGAGGTCTTAATTTAGACTTTACTTGTGCGTGGACTGTTATATGCTTAAGAAATCATATTTGTAAGCCAAAAAAGGTTGTTAGCCAATAAAATAAAAGCCTGGAATGGACTTCACATCTAAAACGTTGGATGTACTCACAATTATAATATGTACAAAGCCATTTATGTAGCTGAGTGGTTAGCCTTTAGCAAACTTCTTGGTAATTGTGTCAAACTCAGCCACTAAGAAATCCCTAATGGATGCTGGCCAATCGTAAGATAAAAATTGATTTACATTACGAGCTACACTAAGAAACTGGCTAATGCTCAGTAGTTACGTAGAGGAAAGAAAAGGTTGGACAATAAGTAAATGATGAATTTCTTCACAAGCTTGAGAAGTGGAGTTGTGTCGTCCAGACTGAGCACCTCCTTCTTTATATCATTTGAAGATTTTTCGGTGATTCAGGCACTTCCCAAGTCAAAATGATTTTCTCTGTTCGGTAGGCCTACAATCAGAGAAACTTCATCGGCATTGAATGCTAACCTCCGCTCCTTGATGATGAAGCACTACTTCCTGATATCTCATAATGACAACAACTTATATACCAGCGAAACATTCTAAACGAAGTGGGGCATCAACAAAAACTGATGTAGCCGCAATTGTCTCAATCTATCCACAAAATCATGGCCAAATATTTCAACCAAGTGATCACATACTTTTCTAAATGTCGAATTTCTACAACGGAAACTTATATTTGGAACATATCGCTGAAAAATTAGGTGTAGTAGATAAGACCAAAACATTAACCTTCACCAAAAGTGGATACCCAGTGGAACCCATATGTGGTACCCATAAGTACCCAATGGTACCCAGATGCGGTACCCAACGATACTAAAAAGTGCTCAGAAGTATGTAGGGTACACAAAAGTTCACAAAAGCATACAAGAAAGGTACACAAGAGAAAATAAATGGAAGAAAACATCACTGAAATGAAATGCTAAATTCTTCATTCGAATAGTAAATATTGGACATCAAAACACACCGGTACCCACCATTACACACCGGTGCACACCAGTACACACCGGTGCACACCAGTACACACCGGTGCACACCAGTACACACCGGTACCCACAAGTACACAATGGTATATACTGGTACACACTGATACAAAGTATAGAAAAACCCTAAACCTAAACCCTTACGTGACATTTGCAGAACAATTAGAACCAACATATCTCATGAAAATGAACTTTTTATCCTAGTAACAAAAAATTGACCTTAGCCATGGCTGCTATTTTTAGAACAAAAATCTGGAGCAAATGAAAGGAGCTTTAGACAAAGATGAAGATTGCTTCAAACAAGAGATACTAAAACACCTCGGTCAATTTTGAAAAAAATAAAATGCCTCGATTTTCTTCTCAATAAAAAGTAGCTTTTCGCGCCTGGTCCGAGTCGGGTCATCAGGCCATGCGGTAAGCTGGAAAAAACCTGCTAAATAAAAATAGTGGGGCCATCAGGCCACACGTGGAGATATTTTATTGGAGTCTGAACATTGAGCTACTTCCGGAGTCCACACCGAATAATTGTTGCTGTAATAGGTTGCCTTTTATTTCTTTTCCAAATTAAACGAAAATTATAAAAATACATCAATAAACTTTTAACAACATCTAAGTTGCATTTTTTGTGATGAATTTGACATTAATTTCTTGATTTGGTAGTGCCAATGGTAACCAAAAAAATGTTTCAAGGAATTTAGAATTCGTATAAGACAATCCATTCATGATATGCTGATCTTAACCAAATAATAAAAGCAAAAGTTTCACTGAAATGAAAAACCTTTTTACAAAGACATACCTCCATTAACTCTTCTTACATTCAAAAATAAAATTTTTTACTCGTAAAATTTATTTATTTATATCTATGGGTATGCACAGTTTTGTGTTTCCAGAATCATTTTTATTTATGACCAATTCATAGTAAAAAATTCCCCAAGTAAATTAGAAAACTTCAGGATATTTTTTAATCAATATTTTCAAATTGATAAAAGCCTATTATGGAGTTAAGAAGCAACACAAACGAAAGATTATTCCTTACTGTTACTAAACCATCCAAAGGCCAATCAAGACGTGTCACATTCTAATTTTTAATAATAATGTCTTTTTTGTAGTAAAAAAACACTAAATACTTTACTCTTTTCGATGTGAGCTATTTACAAATTCTTTGAACGCATTCAATAATTTTTATTTGAAGCCTAACTTTCATTAAATTATCAATAATTTTATAATAACATACAAAATAACAAATTTAATTTTTCATTTTCAAAACTTAACTATTAATTTACAACAACAATAATATCAAACCTTTATCCCACTATATAGACCTTTATCCCACTATATAGGATCGACTACATGAATCATTTTTCTCCATTGTGTTCTGCTAAGAGTCAATTTTCATTTAAATCTAATAAAGAAAGGTCATTTCTTTCTTAGCATAAGCCAAATCTAATACATCTACTCTCCTAACCAAGTCATCAAAAAGCCACCAATTTATGTAATTAAACCATCTAAGACGACTTTCTCTAATCTTATTTTCCACTGTACCTACTCTAGCCTTTTCACATATATGCTCACTAAAAACTTAACTATTACTTTAATTAACAAAAAAAAAAAAGATTTCAATGATATTTTCTCCCTATCTTTTAATCAATGCCTAAGGAACAATTATTACGTCCTCCGACCGGATGCAGAGGAACATTCGGTCGTAGGCAAAATCCCGCCTATACCGAGGTGTAAAAAAACTCGGTACACCTCGGTATAGGCAGAATTTTGCCTACGACCGAATGTTCCTCTGCATCCTTACACCGGACCAAATAAAAGTTCATGCCTAAGGGACTATTTGGGATGGCTGTAATATTTTATAAAAATAATTATAAAGTTGTGGAAAAAATAACTAAACTAATTAGATTCCAAAAAGTAGCTTTTCATCATCGAAACATTTAAAAATCAATGAGAAAGTTATAAGAAAATAGTGGCCAAACGAAACTGTATTTATCAATCTGAAAAGCAAAGCACCTACAGAGTTGTGCCAAACAGACTCTAAAGCAGGTTGAAGAAAAGAAAATTACACATAAAATATTAGAGAGGAATAGCAGCTACATAGTCAGAAATGATTTTAAAAATTATGTATTTAACCTACTCCACTCATTTTATGCTGATTCTAACCTCCAAAGCTAGCTAAAGTGAAGCAACAAACATTTACGCAAACGGGTAATTTCAACTGAACAGTCGTTTGAACTTCAACATAAATACAATTTTAGATGTTCTGTTAACTGCAAAAGCATAATGACCTGATTATCTGAATTGTATTTAATCATAATACTAACAAAAACTTTAGGCATCTTAGGCTTCGTTTGGGACGACTTTCTTTCTGCTTCTTAAAGCATCTTCATAGTATAAAAAATTTAAATTAAAATTTTTTACTAAGAAGATGCTTTAAGAAGCATAGAGAAAGCCGTCCCAAACGAAGTCTTAGTACACACTGAAACTATGTGCACCTTTCATCTTTCCCACTCCAAGGCAGGATCCATCTTGATTGCACTTTGCTCGGGTGGACCATGACCTGTGCGATCCAGGTGCGGTCCAATGACTCGGTCCCAACCCATGATGAGTGGTAGTACAAACTGCGTAAAAGATGCGTTATCAGTTTATTGATGAAACTAGTACATGTACTCTCAAATAATAAGCAGAAATTTTTCTCATCTCATCAAATATGTCACTGTAGTTTGGGACGGCTTTCTTACTGCTTCTTAAAATAACTTTTTAATACAAAAATTTTAATTTATATACTAAAAAGTTGCTTTAAGAGGCAGTAGGAAAGCCGTCCCAAACGAAACCTAAATAAAATGTCACTTATAATCATAATGGATTATTTCATTAATGTGCTCCCTATAAAAACCAAAACAGTAACTGAAGTAATAGATACTTTTATAACAACTACCAGCAAACGAACTAACGAAAGACAATTATCCTCATCTATCTTGAAAGTATCACTATATGAATAAAAGCTTCTAGTGAATGTGCAAGAGTGCATGTAAAATTACAATATTCGTTATCTGCAGTAAATCTGCAGATTTTTTATCATTGCAAGAGAATTATGTGACGATTCTGTTAACTAAATGGAAACATAAATGAGTAGGTACGTGCAGAAAAATATTTTGCAATAACTTACACCGCAAGCCGTGCGCATCACAGAAAACTCTGCCTTAGTCACAGGTAAAGTAAAGCGCTCATTTGTTTTCTGAACAGCATTCATGACAGCTGCATGACGAAGAACAGCAAAAGCTGAAATGTTTTAGCAGCTTGCGGAAAATCTTTTTAAAAAAAATCCATTTAAACAGAGGACAAAAATATGCTATCCACAACAAATCAGCAAAAACAATTTAGCCTTATATGCTAGAGAAAAAAAAAAGGCTATTCCAATGGAAATTAGTCATCAAAACAAATCACAACCATTAGCCTCATCTTAGCTTTTTGAGGTCTACTTATAAATCCTCATTTTTCATCCATTCCCATTAAGCATTTTTCATACATTCCCATTCACAAATCATTTAACAATTTACATTCAATCATAATCCTTCATAACTAATGTTATCTACCAATCTAATAGAGCATTTCTATCTTTCATTTTATATTTCTAAATAGTCCAAATTTATTTTCAATTATCTCATCTATAATAGATGTCACTGTAACATTCTCTCTCATATAGTAATTTATTAATTTATCCTAATTTTATCATACATCTATAATCTATTTAAGAATCAGATTTCCATCATGCCCAACTTAACTTTTACTTCCCAACACTTTGTCTAATTGTAGCATTATAAAATTAACCTTTTGATCTCAATGATATCCTTTTCTCCCATAATATAATGGCGGCACTTTCATATTAACTATTCAAATTTAACTCTAGCCGTTATATATTAAATCGTTATTTAAATTATAAAAAAAAAAACTCTAGCCATTATATCATCACTCTTCTATATAATTTAAGAAGGATATTGAAATCCATCACACCAAGATATCACTTGTTATAAAAATAAAAATTGATGATTGATAATAAAACACCAACTAAGATTACATTATTGTATGTGAATTTTTGTTGTATTAATTTTAAGTCATTTTTTTCTAAACAATTTATTGATTAGTCATCAAAGCTAGAATTTCACTCAAATATTTCAGCCAACATTCCCAGATGTAGTATACTAACACTTCATACTATTGTAAGTTTCATAGTAAATGAAAAGAGAAGACTGAAAACTTCATTGGCACGAGTAACTTTCTAAGAATGCACAATTTCAGGATATGTTCCCATCTAAATATATAAGCTGCATGCCCCATAAAGTTTAATCTAAGATCGTTTATAGCTAATTCTAAGAAAGCCAGCAGATCAACCCAGACTGAGTAGCTTGGCTTTATGAATGCTTCTCAGAGATCTACTTGATGCTAACTTTTGTTGAACTGAATAATACATGACATTTCCTAGTCATATTAGCATGGGCTAACCTTTTTTCTTACTAGCTGTTAACAGAAATCATCTCCTACGCACATATTCAACTCTTTGTTGGAAAAAATCCTCACAGCATTCTCCAATAAATTAATCAAAATTAAATCTTAATTGGACTGTAATTACCTTAAATCAGCATCATAATCAATTTCTAAATCACTTATTTTAGTTAATTACTACATTATTATATATAATTAATCTATTCAATCACTAATTAATCCATAAGAGGAAGGATAAAGTAAAACTGAGAGGTTATAAGATTTTGTTCTTTCATTAAAGCAAAGAGTAATTTGAGTATTATTAAATTTTACCTGTACTAATCCGTATCACTCCTATTTCTGCTGATTTAGTAAGAAAACAAATCCTCATCATTGAGGAAAACTTTCATCCCATCTCCCTCGTCATCTCATTTGAACATTTCAATCAAAAGAAAGTGACCTGTCTCTAATTCTTTCTTTTCTCTTCAAATTTGATAACCCAACCAGAGTAGGTACCTCCCTCATTGATTTTACGGACAAATGAGTGAGTGAAATCATAACTTTTCAAACTTTTTTTTTTTATCTACAAGAAACCAAAGGAAGGACTTAGCTACAGGGAATTTTATTAAGTAAAATGATCAGAATTAAAATAAGCAATGCATGCTTCTAGGAAAGAGGAAGGACGTCAGAAAAAAAAAGATGCATAAATGCGGCTAACAATAATAGACATGCAGCTAGAAGGAAAGATGAAGATCAAATCAGGGGTTTCAATGAATTAATGATGACACATCATGCTTGTGGTAGGGATCGTGATAGAAGAGGCAGAGGTCGTGATATTGTTCATGGAAGAGATCAGGATAAGTGGAAGATGCCCCTTCTCAACCATTTGCTATGGAAAGGCCCATCACTAAGATAGGTTGTCACGACCCGGCCCGAATACTCAAATTAACGAGGCGAGAACGAACAGCCGGACAGTTAAAAACATTACTTTTAAATTAAAAAATAGTTTACTTTCTAATTACCAAATAAAAAATGAAGAGCTACTATCATCCATTTTCAACAAATTACTAATACAATCTTCACATCTTAATTATTTACATAAACCAGAATTTACCTATTTTCATCCGAGCGTCATCTTCAGTAGACATACTCATCTCTTTTAGTCATTTTCACTTATCAGGAGACTTCCCTTAAATCGTTAGTTAGTTTAATAGAGTGAGTTTACTACGTAAACTCCATGGGTAATCATCATTTCATTTGCAATAGTTAAGCATATAAAATAAGACATGCATCATATTCATATCGTTATTCTTTTCAATTACATATTTGTAGACATCTCACTTCATATAATATAGATCTTTCTTATATATCTTTCAAACGACATATTTCTTTTCCAATTAGCATTCATTCATTCATTTATTCTTTTATTTCCTTCTTTCTATTTAGTATAAGAGTACCGTCTAAAATATGTACCAATGAAAATACAATCATTTCCATTTCCTTTTAACGTGCACGGGTACATTGCTTCCCAAGCTAGTACCATATGGGGGTGAACCCACGATTAAAAAAGCGTCGAGGCATCCAAACAGAGGTGCGACTCAGTTCGAGACGCTAACCCGAAGCCTTGAGGCTTAAGCCTCAATATATTTGACAAGGCGTGCGATTTTTTTCAACGAGGTGTACGCGTCGAGGCATAACCCCTCGAGGCAGCGTGAGGCGACGCCTCATTAGGATTCGACGGAGCTCATAGCGAAGAACAAATTCCTTATCTTTCGACTTTCTTCCTTTGCTCATGCAGGTAATGGGCTTCCAGTACCGCTCGGTACCGAGCGGTACATGCTCGGTACCGAGCGGTACATGCTCGGTACCGAGCGGTACATAGTTGATATAATATTTTGTTATTTTTAGTCATTATTTATAATTTTAGATTAATTTATTTTAATCTTTTTGAGGCTTACGCCTCGATCCGCCTCGAGGCTTACGCCTCGCCTCGCTTAGAAAAAAAAGGCCTCGATTCCCGATTTCGTCTTTTAAAACCTTGGGGTGAACTCCTGTAATTTGCATACATCTTCCTTTTCCTTTTTTTAATAATTTCAGTTTTTCCATCACATGTCTTATTTATCCATATATATATATATACTCTTAATTCTTCCCCTGTTTTGTAGTTTTTGAGTTTTTTATATTTTTTCATATGTATTTGATAGATTTAGGAGTTGTATATTTAAGCATGTGAGGTATAGTTAAATGACAGGTGGATCAAGAGAATGAGCCTATCAAAAGTGAAGCCCATTACCTACCTAGAAGTCAAAGCTTGAGGACCGAGCAGTGTTCTTTAGCGCATTCTCAAGATTTTATTGTTCGGAAAGAATATCATTCATTTTGACCAAATTCAAGGAAAATAAAATTAAAGGATTTTGTCTGTTCCAAAGCCGGATTCAAGAAGGAGACATAAAAAAATAAGAAGGTCAAATTTCAAAAATCGACTACAAGAACTGGATGTTCAGCTATGGTTAGATTTACAGTCAGTGAAGATGGAATATGGATGGTGAAAAAATCGGTAGAGAGTCACAATCACGAATTGGCTAAGCCGGATGATCAACATTTGCTGAGATCATTTAGGCACATCAGTGATGAAAATACCTCCATTCTGAAATCAATGTCTGAAGCTGGCATAAGAACAGTTAATGCATTTTCTTATCTATCCGATGAGGTAGGAGAGGTAGGAAATCTAGGATCCACAAAGAGGGATGCATACAACTACATTCAAAAGGAAAAAAGAGTCAAAATTAAGAATGGGGACACCAATTCGCTAATCGAATTGTTTAAAGACCGGGCAGCTGCAGACAACATATTTGCATTGGATGTGCAAACTGATGAAGAAGACAGGTTGGTAAATTTTTTTGGATTGATGGGTTGGGGAGAATTGATTACGACTGCTTTGGGGATGTCGTAATTTTTTATACAAACTGTCATCTTAACAAATATAATTTAGCTTGTGCCCCTATTATTGGAGTTAATAATCATTGGCAAAACATTATATTAGGGGTGACATTTCTATCTGAGGAAACAATTGATTTTTTTTCCTAGCTATTTCGAACATTTTTAAAAATTATGGATAACAACCATCCAATTACTATATTCACTAATCAAGATCAAGTAATGACTAGGACGATAGAGATTGTATTATCTAATACACGGCATAGGTTGTGCCAATGACATATATACAAGAAGGCTCCTTCCAAAGTATGATGTTTTAATAGTAACAACAAAGTAAAAGGTCTATTTTATAGTTGTTTCAGCAAGTGTGATTCTGCGGAGGAGTTTGATAATTTGTGGAATGAAATGATCAGAGAAGAGAACCTCCAGAGTCATCAGTGGTTAAAAGATCTGTACAGAATAAAGGAGAAATGGTCTACAACATTCAACAAAAATTGTTTTAACATTGATATTTTATCTACACAACGTTGTGAGTTTACCAATTATGTTTGTCATGACATTTCAAAGGCTACAAGTTCTATCACCGAATGTTTCTTGGGGTTGGAAAAAGTTATAAACACTTGGCGTCGGAATGAACGAGATGAAAATTTTAGATGTAGTCAAACGAAAATATAACCTTACATGAAAAGTAGTCAAATATTAAAGCAAGCTGTCAACTTTTATTCCATAAAATTATATTCATTTTTTGAAGAGTTCTTACATGGTCTAGGTGGACTATGCATTGATCATTCTTCACCGAACTCATCAACATTTTCCGTCAAGAACACAGACCACACTTT